TATTATTATTTAAAAAGCGTCAACAAATTCTACAGCACTGTACAATGGGTAGAGTAACAGACACATATTTGTAACCAGACAAGTTGGACACACAGAAACAGAGGGATTGAGGGCCCTGCTCAATAAGCTTACATGCTAAAGGGAGTGGGGTATAGTGACAAAAAAGGTAAGGTTGGGGTAGAAAAGTAGTTTGCTAGGATAGTATTTACTGAGGGCTTAGTGTTTTGTTTAGATGACAGTTGCAGGAGAGGAATCAGGGTGTGGGGAGGAAAAGCTGTCGACAGTTTAATTGATAAGGTCTCCTGAAGAAGTAACTTTTCAAAGATTCTTTTGAAGGAGTGGAAACTGGGTGACAGTCTAACAGAGAGGAAGGGTGTTCCATAGGAATGGTGCAGCCCTAGAAAAGTCTTTAAGGCTTCAGAGGTAGGAATGCGAACAGAGGGTAGACTTAGATCTTTTGCAGAGCATAGGGACCTAGACGGGACATATTTGTGTATGAGTGAGGTCAAAGCAGTATTGTAGAGATTTGTAAGAAATTATCAGGATCTTAAATATCTTGCGGGAAGCCAATGTAGGGACTGACAGAGGGAGTAGGCATTGCAGGTGCGGGTGGACAGGAAGATGAGCCTCGCCGCCGCATTCAAGTTGGGAACACGTAAGACCACTGAGAAGAGGATTACACTAGTCAAGGCGAGAGAGGACAGTGGCAGGACAAGCTCCTTAGCCGTATCAGGCATTAATTAGGGGCTTGCTATTTTTTTAGGTGGAAGTGGCAGGATTTGGCAATTGATTGGACATGATGGGTGAAGGAGAGGTCAGCGTCGGAGAACACCTAGGCAGCGAGCCTGCGAGGTAGAGCTGATGGTAGCACTCTTGACTTGGAGGGAAATAGACAAGGGAGTAGCAACACTTGAGGGAAGGAAGACCAGAAGTTCTGTTTTGGACAGGTTAAGTTTAAGGAAACTATAACTAAGATGGCTGCCTATTTATATAGCTCAACCCCTAACTATTAACTTCCAATTCATGCATACCTTCTGCCTAAGCCTCCTACCCCTGTCAATGCCCCTTTCCACTAAGCTGTGTTTTTGTTACATGGAGCTACATTATATTTCTCTATGTTTGACTATTTATGAAAATAAAAAATAATTCTGTTTCTTTGAAAGGTGAATAGCAGTCTGCATAAAGGTGGGACCTTTAACTCGATATACATTATTATTGCACCTCTTCTGCTGCATTTACAGTGACACATTCAAAAAATGTAAGTGCATTGCAATCTCAAGATTTATAACATTTTCTCTGCTAAAAATCCCAGGTTTTGCTATCTTTAATTTTAAGTTTTATCTGTTTAATTACATAACTGAATATGAAACTACAATGAACATGACCGTACAGAAGTTGAGCTACGTCTGGGGCAACTAAGTTTTGATAGTGTCTTATAACTGAAAGGTTTAACAATGCCCTCCTATTGATTGATTAAATGTGAACTATACAAAAAGAAAAACACTATTAAAGTATATAAAAAACAAAACTTTTGCTTAAAGGACCACTATAGTGCCAGGAAAACAAACTAATTTTCCTGGCACTACATTGTTAATATGTCCCCCCTCCTGCCAGGCTGAAGGGGTTAAATTCTTACCTTTCTCCAGCGACGGGCTGCATCTGCGCTGGGGACTCTCCTCCCTCTTCCGACGTCATCCGTTGAATGCACGCAGGGCCGGACTGGCCCACCGGGATACCGGCAAATTTCGCGGCACCTGGGGCTGGGCTGCGCACATGGGTGCCACCGGGCCAGTCCGGTGGCACACTCAGAGGGGGCCGGCCGCGTTCCAGGCTGGAGCCGCCGGGCCGGGTGGCAGCTTCGCCGGTCCGGCGGCACTCCAGTCACTGCTGTGGCTGAGGGCTGAAGGAGGAGGAGCCTGTCTACCATGCTCCCTCGCGGTTTCTGTGCTGGGAATTGTGGGAACCGCGAGGGAGCATGGTAGACAGGCTCCTCCTTCAGACACCAGTGCCGCCGGACCGGCGAAGCTGCCGCCTGGCGGCTCCAGTCTGGAACGCGGCCGGCCCCCTGCCTTCTCTAAGGTAAATGGGTGGGATGGGGAGAGACACAGGGGAAGGGGGGATGGGGAGAGACACAGAGAAAGGGGGGGGCAGAGATGGTGAGGGGAATAGAGATGATGGAGGGAGGGAGGGAGAGAGGGAGGAACACAGGGGAGAGGGAGGGAGGAGGAATGGCAGAAGAAGGGCACGACAGAGAAAGAGGCAGAGATGGTGGGGAATAGGAGGGTGGGAGGGAGGGAGAGGGAAAGAATACAGGGAATGGGGGGGAATGAAACAGAGAGGGGAATGGGGGGGGAATGAAACAGAGAGGGGAATAGAGGGAGGAGGGCAGAGACACCGGGAAAGGGGGGTGGAGAGAGATGGGGAGAGGGAGAGACACAGGGAAAGGAGGGAGGGAGAGAGATGGGGAGAGGGGAGAGACACAGGGAAAGGGGGGAGAGATGGGTTGGAGGGAGAGAGAGATGGGAAAATGGGGGGAGATGGGTTGGAGGGAGAGACACAGGGAAAGGAGGGAGAGAGATGGGGAGGAAGGAGAGACACAGGGAAAGGGGGTGAAAGAGGCAGAGGGGGAAGAGAGACACAAAGAGGGAGAAATGAGAGAGACACAAGGGGAGGGGAAGAAAGAGGCAGAGGGGGAAGAGAGAGACTGGGAAGGAGAGGGGAGACATTGACACAGAGTAGCAGAGGGGGAGAAAGAGAGGACCCGGGGCAACACTCCGGCACTCACGAGGTGAACTCTAGCCCTGGAGCTACGGGCTGGAGTTCACTCTTACCACTTCCTGGTGGTCGCAGTAGTAGGATTGAACTCTAGCCCCATACACACACTGCCTACACACACACCATACACATTCACACACTGCCCCCCACACACTGAACCTTTCACACACCTTGCACCCCTCACACATTGCACCACTGCTCCTATACCCTACTACAGCCCCATATCCCAGCAGACACCAGGTAAGTTGTCAAACTGTTCTTAAACGGTTTGACTACTTACTCTGGGAGGGGGTGCCGACATTCCTGGCACCATAACCACTACACAGAGGAGTAGTGGTTATTGTGCATGGAATATTTATTTAAATAATCTACAAGTGCCCCTCCCGGGCTCAGGCTCTGGATCTGTCACTGGTATATGACATGTATATTAATGTGTATATTAGATATATATAAAATTATGCCTATTATATTTACACATATTAATGTACATTTATATATGCATAATACACAGAGAAATTTCATTAATATGTACCATATGTAATGAGCAGATATTGGCCCAGTCTTGTTGCTAGGTGCATACTCCAGCACAATAACATATTTAAAGCGAAGAGCACACCCACAGGACTTCAAAAGAAAAATTTTTTACAGTTGTGCCCTACGTACATTCACCATTTCAGTCCCATTAACAAGCTTTCCTTAATATGTCAAGGTGGTTGGACTGAAACATTGATTACATGCAAAGGCACTTCTGCTTAAAATAAATCTGCATTTTTGTTTATTTTGAAGCCTATGAGTGCGCTTTTTACGTTGAAGTATCTGTTCTAACTCTGTATCTGCACACTTTGCTGGCGCAACGCATTATGGGGCTGGTAAATATTTTTTTTTCCAGGGCTGCTTTTAATTCCCAGTCCGGCCCTGAATGCACGCGCACATTTAATCAGTCCATAGGAAAGCATCTCTCAATGCTTTCCTATGGACGCAAGCGTCTTCTCGGAAGCGCCTCTAGCGGCTGTCAATGAGACAGCCACTAGAGGCTGGATTAACCCTAATGTAAACATAGCAGTTTCTATGAAACTACTATGTTTACAGCTGCAGGGTTAAACCTAGATGGACCTGCCAGTTTTACATTATTAGTAACATCCAGTGTTAAAATATTTAATGTTATATTTTTCCTTTTTTTTTTTTATATTCCACATGTGTTGGAGTAATCTAAACTGGTATTTTGGTAAGCGTTCATAATTTATTAATATTATTATTATGATTATGATATTTATAGAGCGCCGTCAAATTCCGCAGCGCTTTACAATGGGTGGACGAACAGACATGTAGTTGTAACCAGACAAGTTGGACACACAGGAACAGAGGGGTTGAGGGCCCTGCTCAATGAGCTTACATGCTAGAGGGAGAGGGGTAAAATGACACAAAAAGGTAAGGATAGTATTAGACTAGTGACAGTTGCAGAAGAGGAATCAGTCAGGAGCTATTAACAGTTTAATTGATACGCTTTTATGAAGAAGTGGGTTTTTAACGATTTTTTGAAGGAGTGGAGACTGGGTGAGCATCTAACGGAGGAGGGAAGCGAGTTCCACAGGAACGGTGCAGCCCTCGAGAAATCTTGAAGGCGAGCATCAGAGGTGGGAGTACGGACAGACGATAGACGTAAGTCTTCAGCAGATCGTAAGGGCCTAGATGGGACATACTTGTGTATAAGGGAGGACAGATAGATGGGAGCAGCATTATGTAGAGATTTGAAAGCAAGAACCAGAATTTTAAATTGAGCTCTATATTTTATAGGAAGCCAATGTAGGGACTGACAGAAGGGTGAGGCATGGGAGGTGCGGGCGGACAGGAAGATGAGCCTCGCCGCTGCATTCATTATGGACTGTAACGGCGCAAGTTGGGAGCACGTAAGACCACTGAGAAGTGGATTACAGTAGTCAAGGTGAGAAAGGACAGTGGAATGGACCAACACCTTAGTCGCATCTGGCGTTAAGTAGGGGCGGATGCGCGCAATGTTTTTGAGATGGAAATGACAGGATTTGGCGATAGATTGAACATGAGGCTTGAAGGAGAGATCGGAGTCAAAGAGAACACCTAGGCAGCGAGCCTGTGTGGTGGAGCTGATGGTAGCACCGTTGACTTGGAGGGAGACAGACACAGGAGTAACAACACTTGAGGAAAGACCAGAATTTCAGTTTTGGTCAAGTTTAGTTTAAGGAAGTGGGCAGCCATCCAGTTAGAGACAGCAGAGAGGCAGTCAGAGACGCTAGTCAAGAGGGACGGGGAGAGATCAGGAGAGGAAAGGTAGATTTGCGTGTCATCTGCATAGAAACGATATTGGAAGCCAAAGGAGCTAATGAGTTTACCAAGAGAGGCAGTATAGATGGAGAACAGTAGGGGACCAAGGACTGAACCTTGGGGGACACCAACAGAGAGGAGTTGGGGAGAAGAAGCAGAGCCAGAGAAAGAAACACTGAAAGAGCGCTGGGAGAGGTAGGAGGAGCACCAGGAGAGAGCAGTATCTTGTAGACCGATATTGCGGAGGATGAGAAGAAGCTGTTGATGATCAACAGTGTCAAAAGCTGCAGAAAGGTCAAGGAGAATTAGGATAGAGTAGTGACCACGAGATTTTGCAGCGAGTAGATCATTGGATACTTTGGTCAGTGCCGTTTCCACAGAGTGCTTAGCGCGGAAACCAGTTGAAGCGGGTCTAGCAGAGAGTTGGACTCGAGGAAGTCTGTCAATCTCGCATATACAATTTTTTTCAAGGATCTTGGATGCAAAAGGCAGTAGCGAGATAGGACGATAGTTGGATGGGGAGTTAGGGTCAAGATTGGGCTTCTTTAGAATTGGGGTTACAGTTGCATGTTTGAAGGGCAATGGAAATATACCAGAGGAGAGAGAGATTGAGAATTTTAGTGAGAGGTGGAGAAAGAGAAGAAGACAGAGTACGGATGAGATGCGAGGGAATTGGATCTAGGGAGCAGGTGGTGGGGTGGGAGGACTGAAGCAGAGCAGAAACCTCTTCCAATGTAGCGGGTGCGAATGAACATAGAACAGCAGAGGGAGTGAAGTTAGGGGAAGTATTGTAAGGGGAAGAAGAAAGATGAGCTATCTCTTCTCTGATTGTAGAGATCTTGTCAGTGAAGTGAGTTGAAAAGTAGTAGGTGGAGGAGGAACAGCAGGGCAAAGAAGAGAGTTAAATGTGTGAAATAATCGTTTGGGTTCGCGGGAGTGTGGTTATGAGGGTATTGAAGTAATTAACTTTTGCAGAGGAAAGAGCCAAGCTGTATGAGCTCAGCATAAATTTATAGTGGAGAAAGTCAGACGCACAGTGAGACTTTCTCCAACAGCGTTCAGCAGTTCTGGAGCATTTTTGGAGGTATCGAGTAAGCTTGGTGTGCCAGGGTTGTTGTTGGGAGGGGGCTTGCGGAGTTTAAATGTATAAGGTGCCATGATGTCTAGTTGAGAGGAGAGGGTGGAATTGTAGAAGGAGGTTGCAGAACTAGGACAGGTGAGGTTTGAGATAGGTAAAAGGAGAGTTTGGAGATTAGTGGAGAAATGCTCTAGGTCAAGACATTGGAGGTTTCTGTGAAAGTGATGTTCAAACGGTGGTGTCAATTGGGTCTTAGGTATGCCAATGTCAAAAGTCAGCAGATGGTGGTCAGATAGAGGAAAGGGAATATTGGAGAGATTAGAGGCAGTACAGAGGTTGGTGAAGGCAAGATCAAGAGTGTTTCCTGCTGTATGGGTTGCTAGATTGGACCATTGCGTAAGACCAAAGGAGGAGGTTACAGAGAGCAGACGAGAGGCATCAGTGCAATTGGGGTTATTGATTGGGATATTGAAATCCCCAAGTATAAGGGAAGGAGTGCTAGATGAGAGGCCTTTACAGTTGAGTCTGGGAGTGTGAGCGAATTGTAGCCCACCAAAACATAAAGAGGCAGGAGTAGCGCTATCAGAGGGGGACAGCCAGGTCTCTGTAAGTGCAAGCAGTATGAGTGAGTTTGAGATGAAAAAGTCGTGTATGGTTGTTGGTTTTTAAATGACTGCAGATGGAGCGGGCATTCCAGAGTGCACAATTAATTTTGGTAAGTGACCAACATTTTGGTTATGACATTTTGGTTATGTTATGCTCCCTGCATCTGCAGTGCTTCTGATTGGTCACTGCCCAGCACTAGGAGGTTTGTGCTTGACAAAAAGGGGACAGATCAACTTAATTGTAGAAAACAACTAATGCAACATAGAAAAGGGAAGATTTTTGAAATATTCAAATTGTAACTACAAATACACTAAAAATATGTATTTTGTAACCTAGACAATAGACCTGAGAATAGAGCACCTATCTATAAGATAATAATATGCAGGAGTAACCTAGTGCACTACTGATACTACAATACAAGGAAAACCAAAGTAGAGGTAAGACTATGTACTTTGAGTATATAATACAGAGTAAAAATTAGGTAGTACTAGATCTGGAGAAACTACAGAAATCTGTTACATTAGGCTACTACTGGATGTCTGTCCATGTCCTGTCTAGGTAATGGCAGAGACTCTATAAGACGAAGCTCAGTGCTGTTTGGTCACAGGAGCACCAAAATCATATCACGCCAGTCCCAGGCCTGTATTGGCCCTATCACCCATGCTTCACTGTCCTGGACTTTGGGTTAGTTGCTTAAGGCAACTGTCTTTAGGTGCCGCAACATCGGAGGTCATGGTGCCTCTGCCGCAATGCCCTCCAAGGGTGTTAGTGGTGAGGGGATCTCCTACCCTGGGTAAGCTCTCAGACCAGTAAGTCTCCTCTGCAGGGATGGAACCTGTATTGGCGCAGAACGTTGGTCATCCACTAGCTGGCAGGGTTGTGGTAGAAGTGCTGTAAGCTCTCATGCAGCCGGTAATATTTGGCCATTAGATCTCCTGATTGTGGGAATGTGCTAGCACCTCATGGTCTTGCGGCCATCTTAAAGGGTATGCCTAGGTGGATGTGCCCCAAATTGACAATGTGTAGCATCCTCAATGGGGACTGGGATGAGCACCGCTGGTCCAAAGGGGGAGGGAACAGGACCAGGAAGGAATTAAGTTGTTGATGCGCAGCAGGCGGGTTAGCAAGCGAAACAGCAGCCGTCCACTTCACTCCCTGCCCAGGTAGGTCTCAGTCTCCAAGCTTTCGAATCACTCTTCAGGACCCAGAGTCACCCAATATCAGGCGCTCCAACTGCACCAGGATACTTCAGAATCATGTACTGTAGGCTTCCGACATAATGCTAGTAGAGGGCTTACTGCAATGTTGCCAAATTCCTCGGGCGCCACAGCGGTGTACAGACTGCTGGCATGGCTACTCAGCCCCGCCCTGCCTAGACATTTAATGTAATCCTTTCATGATGTTAGGCTGTTCAATGTTTTAACACTGTTAGCATGGCATGAAATGTACTTTAGTTTTGGTGTTCGCAGAGTAAAATACATGCTCACACCAGGGAGACCTGTGTATCAATTGATATGTGGGGTTCCCCTTTGTCAACTGGGTTCTTGTTTAGTGCTCCCAGACTGACAGATGGGCTTTATGTAGAGATCAAAACAAGCACTGAATATTGCCCTTTAAATCACCATGACTAAGTAATTGTGATCAGCTACTGTGATTCTTATCCTGCCCTAAGAGAAAGAGACAGACAACAGGGTTTGCAAATACCACGAAAGGGTATCCCTGCATGCCCCAATGCCAACTGTAACTGGCACTGTGCTTTGCTAGCTGCCAGCACCAATTGCAGTGCGATGAGCAGGCACAGTGTGCTGGAGCTGCTCCCTCTCATACTGCAATTTCACAGTACACAGTGCTAACAGTGTTCTGTGCCATGTGAGCTTGGGAATCCCTTTAGTTGATATCGACAGAGGGAATCTTCTGAATTAAGTTTATGATTTAATACTGGGTTAGGGTTAATTGGTTTTAGGCTTATGGATAGTGTATGGTTAAGGTGAGGGGTAAGGTTATGGTAGGTGTATGGTTAGAGTTAGTGCAAGAATGGGGGTAGGACTGGTACAGCTTTAGCATTAATTACCAATAATGTATTTAGATTTTAGACATATGAGGCATTGAACAATTAGGATTGACATATGAATTTATTTAGATTTTTTTCTTTAGTTGCACTTGATAGTTTTGTTTTTCATTTGTTCATGTGTTATATTTTATTAATACTTACTTTTGTGTTAGGTATACAAAATTTTAAAAAAAATGTGTTTTTCTTAATTTTGATCTTTCAGTGTTAACCTCTATCACCTCAACTGGAAGACAGTTCCACATATCTACTGCCCTTTCTATATCACTATTAGCTTTTACAACTTCCATTGGAAGGCTGTTCCATGTATCTACTATTCTTAGGCTCTACCACTTCCACCAAAAGACTATTCCAGGTATCTACTACCCTTTTTCCCAAGCTTAAAGTGAAAACTGCAGAGGCTAACAGTGCTATACAAGTGGTAGTAGAAACATGTAACAACCTTTCAAGGTAAAGGCTAATGGTGATATAGAAAGGGAAAATTCAGAGAAAAAAAACAAAAGTTCTTAATTTTGCTGTTTCAATTGCATAGTAGATATAAATGATACCCTAAGTTGATACCCTGAGAACCATTTGGTCCATCTAGTCTGCTCAATTTTCTTTCATTTCCTTTACTTTCATTAGTCCCTGGCCTTATCTTATATCAAGGATAGCATTATGCTTATCCCATGCAAGTTTAAACTCCCTCACTCCATTAACCTCTACCACTTCAGCTGGAAGGCTATTTAATGCATCCACTACCCTCTTAGTAAAGTAATACTTCCTCATATTATTTTTAAATCTTTGCCCCTCTAATTTAAGACTATGTCCTCTTGTGGTAGTTTTTCTTCTTTTAAATATAATCCCCTCCTTTACTGTACTGATTCCCTTTAAGTATTTAAATATTTCTATCAAATCCCCCCTGTCTCGTCTTTCCTCCAAGCTATACATGTTAAGCTCCTTTAACCTTTCCTGGTTGGCACTACCACATAATAATAGCAATTTAGAGAACTATCTACTAAACAGCTGATGAGTAAAACAAAAAAAAGTACTATTTTCTTAATGTTTGTTTCATTTGCTTAGTAGATAAGTCCCTAATTTGGTTCCTTAATTATGGCACTACTACATAAGGATACCAGATAAAAGAGCCATTTACTAGACAGCGAACAGTTTAAAATTAAGAAAAAACAAAAAACACTGGTATTAATTTTATCAGCTCCCTAACTGGTACCCATATGTGGGATTACTATTTATAATAATACTATGTTAGGGCACTATTTTTCTTTGCTTTCATTGATTTTAGTTAGGTGGAATAACGTGTGATTGGTTCCACAGTGTTTACAGCTGCATGTGGTTTTAACGCTAATTATAGTGGACATTTTTTTTATATTAGTGCGCTATCTGCTAAACAGCATCCTACTTTGGTATCCTTCGGATTAATGGTAATAATGGCGTCTAAATTTAATTTTGGTTCTGAAATTTTCAGAATTTCATTATGTCTGAATTAATAATATCCTAATTTCAGACAACTCCAAATTTGAAAATTAACAAATTGGAATGACTCAAAACACATTTTTTGGCCGTGCACATATCTTGTCCTAGATGTTTTTACTATGAAAATTTGCATAATTGTAATAAATAATTATTATTGTACAGACATATATTAATCTTCATTCTGACAGCTCTAGTATGTTCATTACTTTGTTTTCTTGATAACAATGTATTCTTTTAACTCCTTTCTCTATAGTGCTGAACCAATGAAACTCATAGGATTTTATGGAGCTGGTGAAGATTGCCTAGCTTCTGCAATCCTCGTAAAATCCAAGCTTGTCTAGACTACGAACACATTTGCTAAACTACATATTAAATGTATAAACTGTGAAAATTCTAATGACAACTAATAGCAGAACAAGTATATTAACTAATAAGAAACCGTATGTTTGCTACTGACCATTTTACTACATCTCCCTCTCTTCAGTCATGCACTCTAGCAACACACAGTGAACACTGATTTGTTATACTTTCTTACAAAATAAAAAAAAATTTTAATCAAGCGAGTTTGTATGGTATTTTCTAGAGAATTTCTAATATAGTTGTGATGTAAATAGTTACATAGTTGTCTAGATTTAAAATAGGTTGAAACATCCATCAAGTTTAACCCTGAAACCCATTCTTTTCCAATTATGCCACAAGTAATAAGTAATCCTTATTGACTCCATAATGGCAATCACATTTTCCTTGGATCAACAACCTCTTTATATACTGTTTCTGCAAAAAAGCAACCAAACTTTTTAAAAATATATATATATATCTGTAGAATGTGATGACAACCTCTCTAGGTAGAGAATTCCACATCTTTATTGTTTTCTTTCCTCTGCTGTTGGTAGCTAGGGGATTGGGCGCCACCTGGGGGAACTTATTATTTGGGAGAGTGGATAATGGCATGTCCACCACCTACTTTATAAATAATTAGGGTTCCAACCCAAGGGGTAATCAGGTGAGGGGAGACTAGGTACCCAATCATTATGTATTTTAGGGGCCCCAACCTGCCAACATGGGTGGGGGCAAGGGGAGAGAAAAGTAGATCCCCTTTTTATAAATATTAGGACCCCAACTTCTGGCATGGGTACGGGCAAGAGGAGGGTGCACTAGGTCCCCTCCATTTTATAACTATAAGGACCTACACCCAGCGGCATGGCTGGGGCTTAGGGGAGGGGACTCTAGGTCCTCCTCCCTAAAATTTAAAGTATGGAGTGGACTAACAACTAGGCTGCATAGGGGTATATGGGGGTACAATGCTTCCATTATAGTAATACCGGGTCTCATTGATCCCCATATAATATTTATTTAGTATTCATTTTATTTATGTAACAATTTTAATGTGGGTGCTGACTAGCAAGCACTGGTCAGCCACAACGTAATTAATCCTCACACCACTGAAGATTTTTAACAAGTTTCCTGCTGGCTGCTAGTGCTTCCAGTCGACAAATAGTTCTTCAAATGATCAATTCACTTGCACATAGCAAGTAAATGATAATTTAAGAATATGCATTCTGCCCGATGCATTCGGTTTATCACCGGCAGCCATGCAGCAATTGATAAATCTGTAATTCCAATGCCGTAAATTGGTTCAGGTGCGAAAATATGTGATTTTCCGAACTCATCTGAACCAATGTTGCAGAATCGGTTGGAGTTATTAAATCCTGACCACATTTGGATTTAGTAAATATGAGAATTGCCAGTGTGGTTGGAATTCAATCATTTTAAAACAGATTTTGTTCGAATATTTAGTGAACAGACCTGTAGCTGCCTTTTAAATTACATGATTATTCACTAAACCACACACATACACACTCACTCGCTTACAGAAACACACACATTCACAAATTATTATTTGTTTTGTTTCATTTTAATTTGAGTCCACTCTATCTCCCTACCTTTGGGAGAGCTGGAGTTGATCCTTTCCCTGGGGTCCAGTGAAGCTGCTGTCACCTTCCTGTTCTTCAGCTCCTTCAGCTGCCTATCCACCTGCCCGTCACTACTCTCCTTCAGCTGCCCATCTGTCTGCCTCTACTCTACTCTCCTCCACTTCACGCTCCCTCAGCCAACCGCCCACCTTCACTCTATCTTGGCCATCCACCCACCTGCCTTTACTCTTCTTCAGTCAGCCACCTCTGGGCTGGACAGACTGACAAACACCCAGGCGCCAGTAAAACAAATCCTAGTTGCCATGACAACCTAGTGCCTGGGATTTATCGTACCCTGTTCTACATTTATCCATATTTAAACCTTCTAGCCATGATCCATCCAGCACAAAAGGCTCTCTTCCATTCAAGTGCAATCCATCATGGCTATAAAAAGTGTACATAATGAAAAGTCCAGTGCTAGAGAAACCCTAAATCCTCCTTCCTAGACTAAGAGTTCATCTCCCTAAACTTCAGCTGCCCTTCCACAGTAGAGCAAGTCACAGGTAATATCATAATGGAGGTCCTTAAGAGATCTGTTCCGACAGATCCCTCTCCCAGTCCTCTTCTAATGTTTGCTTCCTAACTCCCTGAATTCATTCTTTTGGTCCCTCCATATTCAACTTTACGATTGGTACCAATATGAACCATTATAGCTGGGTCATCCACTGCCCCTTCTAATATTTCATCCACTCTGTCAGCAACATGCTGGACCCGAGCACCCAGGAGACAGCAAACTGTCTGGTTGGTGTGATCAGAGCAGCAGATTACTCTGTCTTCTCTTTTTATAATAGAATCTCCTTCAACCACAACCGGCCTAGCCTTTCCTCTATTTTAGATCCAATGCATACTAGCATAGCTGTTCGCCTGGCTTTTAAAAGGAGCAGTTTTCTCCAGCACAGCCACTCCCGAGCTGGTACTCTCAATATCTTCACTCAAGTGGCAAATCTGCTGGGGTGTACAAAATCAAGATTGGCTATACCCTTCCACTTTCCTCCCCCTTTGCTACCACGCCTGTCATCTTGCTACTTGCCTGACCCACAACTGGCTCATCTCCTCCCACTCCACTATTTACCCCCACTTACTAAACTCTGTTCAGTAAGGCCATTTCAAAGTTGTCAGTCACTGGGAGGACATTCAGGAAATAATTTCAAATAGATAGAGTGACGCACCTGCACAAAGTCAATAGAGCTGTGAAGGTCTTGGCCCAGGAGCATGTTAAAGATCTCCTGCAGTTAGGTACACAGCTTGGCTGGGTATTACTCTTCCTAATGCAGACCGCACTTTATATGGAGAAATGTCAATATATTGCTGTCTGAATGCATCTGTACAGTAACCAATTAATTATATTTACATTCATTCAGACTTTAGCAAAAAACAAAAACAAAAAACTAATATTAAAAATTCCTAGGAAATGATGGATCTCATTTGAGCAAGACAAGGGGCCATAACCAGCAAATATCAATAACAGACATATTTGCTTCCTAGATTTTCAATTTCAATACAAGTTCTCTGCACAAGTTCCCTCTGACAGAAAAATATAGAAATGATACAACATGTAATACTATTTTGCATTGCCAAACTTGTCACTCTTTCAACACTTTTAAAGAGATTTCATTAGG